TAAAGTTTTAATATTGAAAAAAAAGAAGAAGTTGAATTACAATACCTGTTTAGGTTTAATTTCACGTACTTTTGCAGCAAGTTTATCCAGTTGATGTGATACATAAAAAAATCTCATATCTATCGATGAAAAAAGTGATCTGGTTTCACCCCAGCTAAGCTTTGATAATATCTCTGAATAACCGATATCATTACCGCCCGCTGATATTAGCAGCAATTCTGGACCAGATCCTCTAAATTATCAGTTTTAAAAGTTATATGAATGAAACAATAGGAAATAACTAATAAAAGAAATGTCATCTCAAAAATATTATGACTAAAAAGTATTCCATGGAATTGGTTCTCTAGGAATTTTTCAACTTTATAGTTTCAGTATCTTAAACTTATATTTGGTATCGTCTCCACAATAAATCACTGATTTGGTAACAGATTTTCTCATAAAGATAACTATAATTTTTTGAACAGTGAATACGTAAAACTGCTGAAACACCGCTCCCGTACTGCCCCCTACTAAAACGCTGAATTTCATCGCATATTTTTAGCAGCACCGAACGATGTCAAAGTACGTACTGATAAAAGTTTAGAATATAAGAAAAGAAATAACAGTTAATTAGCAATTAATTTTTGCAGAAAATGATGCTTATCATCAATAGTTTAAGTTTATTAGTTGTTGTTGTTGTTGCAGCTGTTTTTCGCTGAAACATTTGTGATGATCAACTTTGTGGTACATTTCTCAGCCAGTTATAATGTTTCAAATTTTGATTTGTTTGAGAGTCGTGAAAATAAAAATAAATTTTTGAATTGTTAAAAATTTAAACTTTCAAAATTATAAGTAAAGTTTTTGCGTTTATTTTAGCAACATATAAGTAAAATTTATGACTGTTCAAAAAAAAAATTTTATAACTAAATACAAAAAATTTCACAAATTTTTCATTTTATTACTCATCAAAGAAAAAAAAAAAAAAACCGGACAAAGAGACAAATAGTAAATGGCGCCAGACAGTGAATGACTTAATAAAAACGGGGGGAGGGGGAGGGTTTTTTTGGTGCAACTTAAATCTTCAAATTATCAACATTTTTTTAATTTGAAATTTTATATAGGTTAATAAGAGAGGAAAGAAAAAAAAACCAACAGAAATACTTAATAAATTTTTATGCTTTTTGTAACAAAAATAAACAAAGAAAAATGTAGAAAAAGTTTTTTTTTTTGTTTTGCAGTTTATATTTCTTTTAGGTATGAGAGTAGTTGATGTGCTGATAAAAAATTTGATTTTTTTTCTTCTGTGGTTTTCTAATAAAAAAAGATTACAGAATAATCAGTGGCAATCTTATCGCGTTGCTTTATGTTATCACTAAATTAGTTGTCAACAGTTAAGGCATCAATATAATCGCTTGAAAATTATTTCAAGTAGTTTTCAAGTGGACAGAATAAATGCCCAAATACAGTGTATTAGAGTAAAAATTTGTAAGTATTCAATTCATTTTTTTCTGCTCAGTTATGTTAATTTTTTAACAATTATTTTACGTTTTTTCTACTACACATTACCTTTTCATCGATACAATAAGAACAAGTGTAAAACTTGTAGCATGTGAAGTAAACGATACCAAAAAATTGATCAGTAAACTGAGAAAGCTTGAAGTAAAATTTCATTATTACTGTAGTCAATCGAATTGGAATAACTTCTTCAACCACGAAACTGCTAACTGAGTATTTTGAAATAAAAATGTTTTAAAAATCTGTACATACAATATCATATAATTCACGTCCCAAACAAATTTTTTACCTTTGATTATTTAAGATACTCATCTTTTTCACTCATTATTAACCGTCTTGTTTTTTGTCAATAGAATGCAGTTAAAATGGTTTGAATTAATTTGTGACAACAAGAGCTGTACTAAAAGACATAGGATAAAGGTTGGAAAAAAAAAAA